TTTTATCTGGTTTGCCCTCTCAACGAAAACCAAGCAATTTTTTGCCCAGAGAAGTAGCTTTAGGGTTTCTGGAGACTTTTTACCTTGTGCAATTAAAAAAAATCTAATGCCTTAAAATAATATTTTTCAAATTACCAATGATGGTGAAAGAACTTAATTTAAGTTGGTTTTGTGGGCAAACTATTTAATCCCTGAAAAACTTAAAGCCAAATGACTCATATACTTAATTTAAGAGAGGAGTCTGCTTTAGAGGCTGCAAAAAATCGCTTTTATCTTTTGAGGAATTTTTAGGGAAGGAAATAAATATTAAATTGAAACGAAACTTTCAGGTTTTGTTGTTACATATTTCAACATTCTTCTCAAATTTTTTCATTAAAATATATGTCATAATATGACGGGTATAAGCATTTTGCCGATGCGCCACGAGCATGCAGACGGGAAAGATGCAAGTCATAATTTCCATCCGAAACAAATATATATTTTCAATAGTATAGATTCTAGTCGAACCAAAAAAAGCCAGGAAAAAATGAGAAATAAAACAATTTTTCGCAAATTGAACAAAAAATCATGTTTTTTGATACAGAATTTCACTTTAGATTGTTTAAAAAGTGGGTTAATTTTAACTTGTTTTAAGTTTTTTTTAGGTTTAATCAGGATAGTTTTTATTCTGAATACAATGAATTCTGTCTCGTTTCGATAGGACGTTCAGTTTTTTTGGTATCTTTCCCGCCAATTAGGTAAAATCGTAAAAATGAAAAACCGAGAAATTGCCCGACAAAGTTTTCATTTGACGCTTGCTCACTATTTTTTCTATGATTCCGAAAATAATTTAAATTTGTTTCTGAAATTTCAATGATATATTCTTAGCTAGTTTTGGAAGACATTTTTGCAAAAAAGCGATTTTTCTAAAGCAGGCTCCTCCCTTGAGGTTTACCAGACAAACTCCAAACTTAACATTTAATCAGAAAAATCTGCAAAATTAATGCTCCTCTAACTTTAATATTATTTTACTTCTCGTGATGGATTTCTTGACGTTTTTGTTATTTTTAGATGAAGTTGCGTGCATCCTTGGCAAAAGAAAAGTCCTTGCAAAAAGAAACTGCAGGACCTCAAGAAATCACCAGAACCGAATTGCCGACATACCACTATACCACGACGCACTATACAACACGTTACAAGTAAGTATTGGACTAGTATTTATCAGGTTAATATTAAGGTTTTAACTGATATATGATTTGTTGTATTTTTAGTCCAAATAATACTTCCAATACATATCTGGAAATGGAGAGAGCGCCTTTGAGATCGTCGCAGTCGTTGCCGCATCAAAACACCACAAGGTAATGAAAATAAATCATTTTTAACTTCCCGTAGGGTAATTATAGTAATCGAAAATGATTTATTTTGCATTTCTCGACGTTTTGAAGGTTTCTGAACATTTTACAGGCATACCTCAGAAAAAATGGATATGCGTGTGTGTCCTACGTTAATGATCTAAAAAACTTTCTGCTTGTATTGACAAAACAATTGCTTTTGAGGATAAAAAATTATTACATCTTTTTTTATTTTTCATAAAATATTTTTGTAATTTTGTAATGGTCAGGACCATTTGGTGGATGTGGAGAAATATTTCAACCAATCGATTATTGCTTTAGTTAGGTTGTCCACAAATTTAACTGGACAGAGTAGCATTGAGTGAAAAATCACCAGAATGATATTTTCCAAACCAATTTTGACATAGCTGTTTTTGACACATAAAATATTTTAGCAAACCCAAAAATTCATTGAAGCAATCTAAGAGTAAAAGCAGCACTGAATTTCCAACCTTATACTATTTAATGATACAATAAACATTAGTTTGTTTTAAATTAATATCATTTTTAACCATAGTTACTGACAGTGAGTAATAAACTTACGTTATATTTACGATTTTTTTGCTTTTAAAGCCTTGTATAAAACTCTGTTCGCGTTAAACTTTGCAATTAATTTTAATATTTAATATCACTTTTCTTGTGCATATTTCAAGTCGAGTCTTGTCACTGACCTTAAAATAAAGCACTTTGCCAAGCAGTCAGAAACTTGATTTACCTAATTTTATGGTTATTTTCGTAAATTGCAATATAAAAGTTTAACATATTTAGTGAGGGCTAGTTGAACATAAAGAATTTTTCCATTCCGCAACATTCTCTTTCATAATTTTTAGTTTCATATGAGCAGTTTATCGCATATATCATTTTCAGACTATAATGGGTAGTTGTAATTATATTATAAAGTAATGAGATATATTCAAATTCAAGCTTATCTTTTTAAAAAGTCATTTAACCCGGCAGAAAAAACATAACTCCGGCACCAGGAAAGCAAGGTTGAAAACTAGGACTGTCTTGGCCAAACCAGGGCACCTTATTTTAGTTAAATTTAAGAAGCATTTTTTGTTAAACGTTTTACCGATACTATACTACATTACATTAAAATCACCAAAATTTTCAAATTGCCCCCCTGAAATCAGAAATTGCCCTCCGGTTGTTTTTTTTTAATTGAATTCGAAATGAAATGACTATTCTTAATGTTCTGGAGATAAATTGATTTATTTGTTTGTGATTTACATTTGATTTGCTCAGATATAACAAGATAGCAAAAATAATGAAAGTTACAGTATTTGTAATAATATTTTTGAAAACGTTAAAAATTTCTCGAATATTTCATTACGGTACGAGAAGTTTCAGCAATTTGCTTTAAGGCACGATGCCATACACCACTAGTTTTGTATAATTTTCGATATCAAACTTATGTTTCTTTTTCCAGATCGCACAGTATTTCGCACGACATGATATCCAAAGATCAGAGCTACTCCAAGCGCAAAGTCACGAAAACCTCCAAAAACGATAGATTTGTCCGAAATCGAGAATATACCCGATAAATACATTGCGCACATACGCAAAGGCAGTTGCGATTCATCGACGTCCATCAAGACCGTCGACTCTAGTCGAAGTAGTAACATCGAAAACTTCCGAAACGAAGACCACATAAGCATCAGCCACTCCAAAATACCTTCGGAAAAAGCCAGACGTGTCCTTTTAGGCACAGAAATCGACAGGAATGCTGTTAATTCCGAACCGGTTTGGCACAAACGCGAACAGTATTCTTCAGAACCGTCTAGGAATTGGAAGTCTGAAGACTCGCACAGTAGTTCTTTAGAATCCCAGACAAGTTTGAATTCTAATTTTAATCAACCAGTGCGTCGGTTAGATTCTGGGCCACTGTTACCAGTGCACAGACAAATAAGGTACAACCAGGATGGTAAGTTGGTTATGGAGCATAAGACGGAACCCAGGAGCAACGATCATGTTGAAATTGTTTTTGTCAACGCGGCTATCGAAAAAAGTCCTGCAAAGTCTTCGAGTGCGAGCAGTATCCCGGAGGTGCCTTTGAGGAACATCAGGAAATCCAAAAGGGATCATATGTGTCGAAGCGTGTGGCGAGGAGATGATCGATCGTAATCCTAGCATCGATGGTAAGGCTGCTGCATTTTTAGGCACAATAAGTGAAGATCATAGTCAACGCAGGACGCGTTTAAGTGGTGGTGACTCTGATGCTACATCCAGATTTGTCAACAACGAACGGTTATCACCCTCACACTTTTCCAAAAGGCATAAAAACAGTTCTGTGTCAAGTTTGGATACACTCAGAAGACGCAACAGTGATCCTGCCACAAAGTAGCCACCGTAGACTCGCATCCTGATGGTTCCCAAAGCATTACATCAAACTACGTGCCGCATGTTGACTGGAAGCACTTTAACGCCCATGAGTTCTCCTTGGAAGGCCATAAGTTCCACCGAGTGCCCAGGTTCAACAAAGAAGACAAATGTGCCTCCTGCAACAATACAATCGATCAATTCGTTACCCCGGGGTACAAATGTTCTGAGTGCAAACGGTTTTTCCACACAAAGTGTATACAGAATGGGGCAGTACACAAAGCTCCTTGCAACGTAGGTGTTAGGCGGAAACCGCGCAAACACCAACGTGCAGTCGCCGATGCTTTGTCCGGTAACTTCAATCTGACGGGTACATCGGAGTTCCAAGACAGCAAAGACCAAATTATAGCAGGTGCTAAGGAACTGCAGAACATGCAAGACTTTATCACCAAAAAAATGTACAAAATGGAATCGGAGGTCGGTGAAAAACCTAGCGAAGTCGACAGGGTGTTCAAGCACGCGTTGCAGGAATTCAAGGACAATTTAGTGGCTTCGTACAGTGTTGCAAACCGGCAAGGCGTAGAGACTTTAAACATCAAATACAAAGATCTTATCGCCAATTTTATACACGTCATGGAAACCGTGTGCTCGCAAGAACACAAAACAGAAGGCTTTGCGGTGACTATGTGCGTGAACGCTTTTCGTGGCTTCATGGACGAGTTCATGCACTCGCGTGCTGAAGCTGAAAAACCTAAAACCAAACGGAAAAAAGAGAAAAAACGCAAAGCTGAAGATCACGTTTACGCAGGCCACACGTTCGTCCTAACCATCATCAATATACCTACAGCATGCGAAATCTGTACATCATTCTTCATGTGGCCTATAGAACGTGGTTTGGTGTGCCAAGCATGCAAACTCACTTGTCACAAGAAGTGTTATATAAAAGTTACCCAAGAATGCGGTGGATGCAAAGACAATATCAATATCGGTCTACGGATTTTCGGAGTTGCCCTGCACAAGTTGACAGCAGGTGACGGCAAAATTCCTGTCGTTATCGATAGGTTGATCACCACGATCGAGATGTACGGTTTGTACACCGAAGGTATATACAGAAAATCTGGTTTAAGTTCCAAAGTCAAAGAGTTGAAGCTGAAAATGGATGAGTCTGATCAAGGTACCATCAAATTTGAAGGTTATCCTGTACACGTGCTTGCAGCAGTTTTGAAAAGTTTTTTGCGTGATATGCCCGAACCGTTGTTGACTTTCGATTGTTACGATGACTTTATACGTGCAGCGAACTTGACAGACCCCGCAGACAAAGTGTCGACGTTGTTCACGATCTTAAAAAAGCTTCCAAAGTGTAATTTTGTGCTCATGGAACGCCTGATATTCCATTTAGCGCGAGTTGCCCTGCACGAAGAGACGAATCGCATGAACGCCAGCGCGCTGGCCATAGTTTTTGCACCGTGTATACTACGCACAAACAAACTCCTACCAGCCCAAGACAGTTTACAAGACATCGGCCGACAGACACAGTGTATAGAAACCATCATCACCGAACAAATGCGTAAAGTGCGTATGACTTTAGCGGATATCAACACTTTAGACTCGGCTTGTCACACCGCGACGCACCGCCTGTCGTCGTTGAGAAGTTCCAAAATCTTTAGCCCGGAAGAACTTTTACCTCCTAGTCAAGAACAGCAAGGTCTAAGTTCACCAGACAGGGAAGAAGAAGAGGCTTTGCTCGTTGGACACATCGAGGAAATCCAGAAAGAAAAGGCTTTGTTGACTTCAGCACTACCGAGTCTGACGAGGGCGACGTCGGATGATGATTTGTTGTCGACGGATTTGGATGGCGAGGGGAGTTTGGATGATATATCGACGACGACGACGAACGAACCACCGAAAAAGACCAAGGTTGTCATCACTAGATCGATATCTGGGGGACATTGTACGGGGAATTCTAATTCGCACTTGAGGTTACCGAGGCAGAGCTCTTCTGAACAGCAGCAGAGGTTGGAGGATTGTGAGGATGATCCAATTATGGTTTAGTAACCATAAGATACTTGGACAACCAGGAGAAGAGGTCTTACCCAAGATGATCGAATTATGATCGACTTTCCACCAACGTAACCACCAAGTTCTGGACTCAAATAAAAGAGTTCTTACCCAAGATGATCTTGTTATAGTTCAGTAACCACCAAATACTTATTTCTCATGGTTTTTGGACTACTAAGACAAGAGCTCTTTACCAAGATGATCAAATTCAGGTTCAGTATCCACCAAGAAAATTATTTCTGGTAGTTTTTAGGCAATCAAGACCAGAGCTCTTCCCTAAGATCATCCGATTACAGTTCAGTGACCAGCAAATACTTGTTCTGGAGGTTTTTGGACAACCAAGCTAGGAGATTTGAAACAAGATGATATAGTTATGATTCAGTAACAACTAGATAACATTTCTGGTGATTTGTTCTGGTAGTTTTTGGACAACCAAGACAAGAGCTCTTACCCAAGATGATTTAGTGATGATTCAGTAACCATCAGATTGGACTAGATGGTTTTTGTTTAACTAAGAACAGAGTAATCACACAATACTTGTTTCTGGAGGTTTTTGGACAACCAGGACAAGAGCTCCTTTACAAGATGATCCAATTCTGATTCAGGATCCACAAGATTCTTATTCTGGTACTTTTTGGATAACCAAGACAGAAGCTCTTACCCAAGATGATCCAGTTATAGTACAGTAACCACCAGATGCTTGTTTTTGGTAGTTTTTGGACAACCCAGATCAGAGCTTTTCTCCAAAATAATTTTATTACGGTCTCCTACACACCTGATATTTGTTCTGGTAATTTATTCTAGTGGTTTTTGCACAACCGAGACCAGAACTCTTTCTCAAGACAATCCGATTATGGTTTAGCAACTAGTAGATGCATGTTTTTGGTGGTTTTTGGACAACCAAGATAAGAGCTCTTATCCAAGACAATTCAATTCTAGTTCAGTATCAACCAGATATCTGTTTTTGGTGGTTTTTGGAGGTTTTTGGACAACCAAGATTAGAGTTCTTTTTCAAGACGATCCAATTATGGTGCAGTAACCACCAGACATTTGTTTTTAGTGGTTTTTTGTGGTTTTTGGACAACCAAGACTAGAGCTTTTGCCCAAGACAATTTAATTCTAGTTCAATATCAACCAGATATCTGTTTGTGGTGTTTTTCGGACAACCAAGACCAGAGGTCTTTTCCAAGATGATCCAATTCAAGTGCAGTAACCAGCAGATTGAACCAGATGATTTTTGTTCAACCAAGACCAGGGCTCCTCTCCAAGATCATCCAATTTTGGTTCAGTAACCACCAGATATTTGTTTCTAATGATTTTTGGACAACCAAATCATGAGCTCGTACCCAAGATGATCCAATTATGATTCAGCAACCACGAGGTTCTTGTTTTTAGTGGTTTTTGGACAACCAAGACAATAGCTTTTCATCAAGATGAGCCAATTCTGGTTCAGTAGCCACCAGATACTTGTTCTTGTAATTTTTGGGCAACCAGGACCAGAATTCTTCTCCAAGATGATCTAATTCTTGTTTTTGGAGGTTTTTAGACAACCAGTTCCAGAGCTCTCACCCAAGATGATCCAATTCTAGTTCAGCAGCCAGATATCTATTTCTGGTGGTTTTTGGCTAGTTCATCAATCAGATATCTGTTTCTGGTGGTTTTTGGACAACCAAGACCAGAGTTCCTTTCCAAGACAGTTCAATTCTAGTTCAGTATCAACCAGATATCTATTTTGGTGGTTTTTGGACAACCAAGACAAGAGCTTTCCCTCAAGATGATCAAATTCTGCTTCAGTAACCACCAGATGCTTGTTTCTGGTGGTTTTTGGACAACAAAGACCAGATTTCTTCCTCAAGATGATCCAATTCTGGTTCAGCGACTACCAGATACTTGCTTTTGGTGTTTTTTGGTGGTTTTTGGACAACCAAGACAAGAGTTTTTTCTCAAGATGATCCAATTTTAGTTCTGCAACCTCCAGATGCTTGTTTTTGGTGGTTTTTGGACTTCTTCCAATTGTGTTTTACCCTGGTAAGTCCAGAATTTTCTATAACTGTCTGTCGGTACTTACTCTAAACAATTTTAATTTGTTACAAGATGAAATTATTTTCCTAAAGTGTCTATATCTATATATATATATATTATAAATAAATATATATTCTCGAAGAGTACTTTGTAAGATAGTTGCATATTCATATACATACATACATACATACATAGTATTGTAGTTACGTTTTTAATATATTTTGTCTATAAATATGTATATAAACAATTACTATTAGAATTTTTGAAAACTGAGAAAGTATGATCTTTGTGTGATTTTTGTGAAATGGTTGATTTAAATCTTTGACTTGAAGTGTTGGTTTTGCCCGATTTTAACTTTTTGGAACAAGTCTATTATTTATTGTTATAAATAATTATCCAACAAACGCCAATTTTATTTTTATAAGTCTTTGTAGGAATTCTAAATCGGTTAAATTTTAAATAATAAATATAAATATAATAAATTAAATAAATATTTAA